TATATATATATATATATATATATTGTGTGTGTGTGTGTATATATAGATATATATACTTACAACTGTAAAGGATTCTTTGGAACCGCTATGGTCTGTGTAAATGTATATTTAGGCACTTTATTAAAAATTGATTTTGAGCTGATACATGGTAACCAGTTCTTCAAAGTTGGTGGCATAATACCTCATGTAGTATGGTGTTCTTGTGTTCTGGATGAGATGATATCCCTACTAACCTGTATGAAAGGGTTATATTGGCAGACTGCAGCTTTGAGCGTCTTTAGGTGAGGTGGGAGGGTAACTTTTTTGCCACACCAACATATCTTAATTCTGGGGCTGAGTGGCATTGGTGTGGCTCTCCAAAGAGGCCTTTTACTTAACTTTTATCTGGCAGAAATGGGCCAATACATTGCAACTTAGCAATATATTTGTATGTGTTTTTCAAAGTAGTTTAAGCAGTGGTAACTCTCAGGCCTTGTGGTACTAGGTGATGGTACAAAAGCAACACAGCTGGAAAAATGTCAAAATATTTCTTTATTGTTCAGCTGACTTTCAAAACTAATTTTAATCCACATCATAATATTTCACAATTACAAAAAATGCTTGAAACCTGCAAGGCTTTTTAGGCTTTTTGGGGTTTTTTTTCCATTTCTCAAACTTTTAATTAAACTAGGTGTCATCCTTTTTTGTAGCTTGCTAAGTTATGATAACACCCCTACAGATCACTCTATTTACTATACCAGTTTACTGTTTCCTCAGTTACAATTTTTTTTGAAACTGCTTTAGTTGCAACAGTGCTGTTTAATCTTGCTTTTTAAACTTTTTTAAAGGTGATAATTTGTGTAGTATTAAAGCAAGGTGTTTTAATGAAGAATGTGTGATTCTCAAATCTCACTTTTCATTACATTTTTTAAAGTTACTTTTTACTGGAATATCACCTACACTCTGCTTTTGTTGATAGCTGCTAAAATAACACATTGCTCTTTTTACCTATTTTTATCTTTGGCATTAAATAAAATGAAATTAGGAGCTTTAAACACTTCCTGTGGGTGTTCTTTTTCTTTCTTTTTTTACAAGAATAAACTGAAAAGGCCACAGTTACGGAGATGCAAATGCATAGTGGCAAAATAAATAAACCCTATGCCCCCTTTTTTAACAAAAGTAAAAAAAGGCTTCTTGAAAATGTTGGTGTGTAGGGAAACAAACTGTAGGAGATGAATACAGAAAAGGAGATGCAATGGATTGTCAACTAAAGCAAAAAAAAAAAAATTCCTTCCTCCCCTCTCTTCCTCTCCCCTCTCCCTCCCCCAACCAGTATAGAAAAGGAATGAGCAAAAGGCCAAGAACCCTCTTCTTTTATCCTTGTTCCTTGCTTTGATAATGTGCATTATTGTTCATCAAAGTTTCCAGTAGATGGGAAATTCATGGCATAAGGGAGGTTCTGACAGTTCTTGTGGTGGCCTCAGAAAACCTGGTATATTTTGGAGCTCTCTTTTTAGACATGCTGTAAACCAGGCCATGGCAACCATGTGTTTTATGAACTAGCACTTAGGAAAAGGGTATAAATATATTTGAGAGTGCTCTCTAGTGGTTTATTATGTCAACAGAGCCCCTGGATCCTTTCCTTTGGTGCTTGGGCCAGATCCGTTGCCCTACTAACAGGGATAACTGATTTCAGTGGTACTTCTCTCCTTAGAAAGGAGAACATGACTTGCCATTTTTCTGTTTCCAGGCTTGGATGGGACCCTGAATATAAGATAGAGTTGAGGAGGACAAACACTGTATTAACTCCATTCCCTTTACATTTTAATCAGCCCATGGTTTGTAGTTGATAGTTAAAAATTCCTGTATCATGCGTGTCTAAAGCAACACTTTAAGCCAGTGGTTCTCAACGTTTTTTGAACTTGAGGCATCCCTCAAAAAATGTCAGCTCTTAGTATACTGTTTTCACTCAATTTTTTGATTTAAAAAAATAAAATGGAGCAATTCTTCTGTTGCAAAGCAATCGGCAAGACCACAACAGATCAGAATATTTTTAAACCCTATGGATTCATATTTGAAATATCTGGGTTTATCTTGTGAATCATGTTTGCACACCTAAAAGTGCTAATATTATGTGGTACCCTTGAAAGAATCTCAAGGCAACCCAAAGTGCTGCAGCACCCTGGTTGAGAATCACTGCTTTAAGCAATAGTATGGTGCATCCACTTTAGCAACCGTGCAATGTAAATAAAGTGTTCTGATTTTAAATACAAGAGAAATAAACTTGACCCATCACAAATTAAACAAAGAGCAATCATTGTAATTATTAACATATTCTTTTTTACATGCAAAGGTCCCAAAACCCAGCACTTAAGTAATTTAAGGAGGCTTTTGTCAGAGTGAGGATTGCAAAACGGAGTACCAGACATTCAATATCTATTCTCAGGAAGAGCTTGTTTGTGAAGCGAGAGTACAAAGAATGCAAAAGTAAACTTTCTTGTGCCTCTACCTGTGACTGAGTTTTAGATAACTCTTTACTATTAATTCTAATAACAAATTAAATTGCATTTGCATTTATTAAAGTTGATTTTGCATTTATTAATAGATCAGAATAACATCAATTAAAACCTGTACTTTGATAGATTACTGGACAAGCCAAAGAATGTTTTCCACACTTCACATTCCTTAATGTCACTGTGACAGACCCAAAAGAAAGTGCCTCAGGACAATTAATAGATTAGTTCTATTTGACTAGTGAAGTGCAAAAGGGTTCTCTTCCTGATTCCTGAGTGTAAACTGGGATCATTCAGAAAACACTCAATCACATGTAGGCCACTAGAAGTCCTGAGTCACCCTCATTTGCGCTTGTCTTTTGTTCTACGGGAGCCTATTGAGAAGACCCGCCTTTCCTCTGTTAGAGACCAAGGTCAGGCTGTGTTAACAGATGAATGGAATACATATTTACCCATTTCATCATTCCAGCCTTGTTGGAGCCGGTATGCCAGGGTTAACTTGTTCATTGCCTTTGGCTGAGTTACTAGAAGAAGCACTTTTCTAATACTAATATTAAACCTGAAGTTCAGCTTTTTATTTGTATCTTTTTGCTCACAACATTTGTGAATGGATGTAATGAAAATGTTCCTTCTGAAGAAAAAGCAATGGGAGTATATGAACACCTTTATTTACAAGATCCTAAATATACTTTAGAAAACGTATAAGCTGGCCCATCCACTGTTCTACAACGAGTTCAGCTATTCTTGCACATGCCTATGTTAGTTCCTCTTTCCACAG